TATTGAATATTTCGATATAGTATAATTATTGCCTGGCTATAAACTTAACTCTGACTAAGAACTTACTAAAGTGGCAACGTATAGATGAACTTACGAACTCATCCGAAGAAAGGAAAACATGAAATGTTTCGATATTCCATGTAATGTTTCTGTAACAAGAACGTCATCAAAACACATATAATGAGTTAACAGTTCGTAACACATCAACAGTCCACGACATAAACACATCAACAACTACACATGATAGTTATGATACTTTATTTTCGTCATCGGAGAATGTCTTAACACTTTTATAATGATAATAATTCTCGGTTTGTCCTCGCGGTTGTTGAACAACTTTGACCCGTAAGTCAGATGCAAGCGGTGCAGTTTAGGTGTTTAGCCAACCACTGGTAAGTACCAGGTACGCGGAGACTAGACATCTAGAAGAGGTTGCGAAATAATAGTACTGATCATACCTTAACCGGTAAGGTAATCGTTGGACGTGATTGTATTTGCCCTGCTTTGGCCACGAAATATAAGATAATGGCTGCAATTCTAGACACCTTAGCTTAGAATTATACCTATGTTGCGTCGAGAACAATCCTTAACTCGTCGAGTACCGTATTTATAGACACAATTAAAGAACAATAGGTTGCGGTCACCGGTGACCGCTTGGTGTTTGACAGTTTAAGGTTTAGTTAAATATTTTCTATATTGTTTTACATAAAATAATTTTAAGAAAATCAAAAATAGGCAAGAACTCGCTCCTCAAACAAATAATTGAGTAAGCTTACCCCATATTCTACCAAAATATTATATGAATCACTATAATAATTTGTCCTGAATGAGAAACAAAGATTTTCATAATTAAAAACTGTCTCCTTGAATACAAAGTCAATTACACAATAAGGTCGAAAGTCTCTTAAAGTAATCTATATAAGAGCTGTTGTCAAGGAAATTTTCCAGTCAGTTAAAACCCTTGTAGTAACGTAAAGCTTTTTATAAACCATCCACAAACATGACGAAAATTGAACTTTTGCCAAAGTACTCGGAACATTGTTTCATACTTTGTAATTATCGCACTTTAAGAAGAAATTTGGCGTATTCCTTTACATTCCCTTGACCTTGGAGTGATGTCTCGTAATTACGAGTAATTAGTCTACAAATATAATACGTAATGTCAAGGTATCGTGTGTCGTGCGGATAAATCCAACGGCTTCGGATCTTGGCTTCGGATCAAGATAAACAATCTTCGCAGCCCCCACGCTCGAATGATGGAACTGCTCTTTCTGGAACATTACCTAACTGATGTAATAATTTATTTATTCTTTACTTGTATACAGAAGCACGTCAATTTAATGTAGGTTGAAAACAAGATGGTGTACTGTCAAACTTTGCACGCGCGTCGGCTGCTGGTTTCTAGAATAGGTACCAGGATACCAGAGGATGAAAGAGTGTGTTCTTATGTTCGAATGAAATGGTATTTGGAAGTAATATCGCTGTCTCTTACTTTTTTATTCTTTCTACTACTTCACATCCATCCATCACATTTTAGTTTGCTTTTACTTTGCGAATTAAAGTCCTAGTTCGTAGTTAACTATATATTTTGTCTAGAAGTCATACCTTTATGTGTGATATGTATTAACAACAGTCTATCTCCTAGTTATATATGCTTTCACTTCTTACACAAGTATCTTAGTGAGCTTGCTTCACAACTATACAAAAACAAACCCTGACCTAAGTTTTTAATTTTATCACAATCGTAGGACACTTAACCTACTCTTGAAGTTGCCTCCGACATTTCAAAGCCACAAACATAAAGAGTATGGAGTTTGTATTACTAAAGACCATAATATATTTGCTGAAGATGAGTACAACAAAAACGCTGTTTTGTATAGTTTTAAGAATGAATGGGTTGAACGACCTCCTTATGTCTTTGAGCTAAAATAATATAAATCTAAATAGCCAGCTAGCGCATGGCGTAGCGTCGTGAATTTTATTGCAAACTGTGACATTGGGAGATGGTGTATGATCTTTGCGTGTCCTACTGACGTCAGGGTATTGTGAACAGAGTGGAATATTCCAGAAGAACAAACTGAATGAATTGGAAATATGGAAGATCCAGTACTTGTACAAACCACAGTAACATCTGCCTAGTCTTGCTATGCAACAGAAGGTTCAGGAATTTGGGTCGAAAATTCTTAAACTTAAATTTTTCTTAGTATGCTATTTGCAAAGTCTACATGGGACTGATGTAAAAGTTACATTTAATACGATACTTTACATGACAACCTCTGAACACACGCTTAATTATTATTACAATTGGAAATTAATATCACTGTCAGTGTCAACGTCCTGATGATACAAGAAAAAGAAAATGTCTACACACAAAAATAAGATAGCAATATACAACGCGTCGCGAAAGAAATAATAAATTAACAACATGACGACCTAGCGCTAAGAATTAATTTACAAAACCACATAACGCTATACATTTTATGTGAAAAGATATTTGACTGTCTGGCACTGTTCTGGAAAGACCAGGATTCGGGATTGATATTAATTAATGAGCCATTCAATTCGAAGTAACTTCTTAAACATTCCGTTTCGATATTTTTCGAGAGTTTTGATCTCATTTCGATTTAAAAATACTTCTATAAGTTCCTCACGGGGTTATAACTTGTTTGCTATTTTGCTTGTTTGTCCTATAAATCCAGACTTTTTAAACCCAAGGAGGTATGTCTTAAAAGGGCGACCAGCTATACAAAATGCATGATAAATTAAGCATTTTTGGTTTAGATAGCGCCCAGTACGGCTGATGCTCAACACGGAGCCGCGGAAGGCCTAACGGGTTGCCTGGGCTCCGGCTTGAAGAACTGAAATAGGTACGGGGTGGTTATTAGTCAGTAATAGTCTGACTCTGACACGAGAGGGATCTCGCTTAACCAAAGGCGGGAGAAATAATTGGATGATTTTCCCCCTTTAAAAAGCATTTTTGGTTGTTTCCTGAAACCTATTTTATGGGCACTACTGCCTGATTACAATATATGTCAGTTACTGTAACTGCTTTTCTACCGTTGTGACTGTTTAAAAATAAATAAATGACGCAATGACTAAGTACGACGACCTAGGTCAACACAACCTTTAATGACCTATAAAATTGAATTTTGTACTTACCTCGACTTATCGTCAGTCAGATAGTCCGCGCGCATTAATTGATCATAATCCGTAGTAATGTTAATCCCATTGCAATCAGAAATTAGTGTTCAAATTATTCATTATATTCCTTTATTCGTTTTCATGATTATTGTTTTTCTTTGTTACGATTAACCCAATACCTTAATGCCTTTTTATGTTTTTATAATAACTATTGTGAGGCATACTGTTATATGATAATGTTTATGTTATCTGTGGCAAGCTGGCCACTTTTAAATAGGGAAATCTTTTTATATTCTTCTTTTGTTTATAATAAGTGTGTTTCTGACTAGCTTGTTTAATTCACACGATAAATAATTATTGCATTATATATTGAAAATATAAATAAACTAAAAATTGCGGGTTACACACGTGAAAATACTGAGAAAAGCTCTTCTAGTTTAGAATCACAAGGGTTCTTACCCACGAGCAGCGTGCACGGTCGCGGCGATGTCGCGAAGTCTAGGTACTCTTGCCGTCGATTTTTAGTTAATGCCTTTTTTAGTTTACATTGTAATGCGCCTAATTCGCCTCTATTACACAGGAACAACATGTCCTAGCTTTCCTAGTGATATTTTCTTAAGTTTCTTTTCTCTAATTGATGTATAAGAATTGCGAAAATTTACATTTTTAATTCATCGAACTTGATACAATCCATCTCTGGAGACCAGAGCATAAATGATTTGCTAAAATAACCTTAATTTTAATTGCAAACCTCAATACCCTGGGCCCACCTCTGTATCCTCATAATTCTGTTCCCTGTCAACTAAGATATTTGGCACAAGTGCACTAGTTATGATTGATTAGATTTAAGGTAATTATTCTTCTAAGTCATAAAGTTGTCGTAAAACCTCAAGGTCTGCCAGTATTAAATTGTAGCACATAGTAAATTATTCTATTACTCCAGAAATGCCGTGGAGTATGCGTAGGTTGTGTTGCATACTAGATAATTAAAAGTAAATACGTAAGGAAATATATTCATGTACACGCGGCTACACATCGAGCTTTATATAACCAGTATAAACTGAACGTTAAATGTGCGGAAAGATGATGCGACGCGACACCAGGATAAAGTGGTTTTGTATAGGTTGATGTGTAGTCGTGTGTACTCATATAATTTGTATGTACGGCTACTTATAGTAACTTTTGTAGGGGAAAGTCTACATAATTCTATACGGACGGAACATTTTTTGTACAATACTGGTAAATTCCATCTAGACTAAACATTAGTCCAGGATGTTTAGATTTTATAGACATTCATGTATCTATGTAGGAAACCAGTGCTCAGGGAGCTGGTTTAAACTGTCAAACACCAAGCGGTCACCGGTGACCGCAACCTATTGTTCTATAATTGTGTCTATAATGACGATACTCGACGAGTTAAAATCCTTGACGCTTAAAAACACTGTATCTTTCTATATGTGTTCGACCCAACAAAAATAAAACTGATTCCAGTTTTTTATTAAGTATGTGTGTTCAGAACTGAGCACAAAAAAAAAACAAAATTCTAAGCGCTCAGTTTTGAATAGCACTGACCGCTTAGTTCCAATATGTCCTTACACGAAACAATGATACGATAAACGGAATTTAGATACAAAATAACGACAAGAAATAATGTTGAAAGTATGACTTCATTTGTAAGTTAACATTATATTCTAATGTTCACGTAATGATAATACTCAACAGCTATTCATACAATCAACATCTTCATGTAAATAAAACATGAAAAACATCTGTCTATAATTTTACTAAGCTTATGAGCTCTTGACCTTCCTCCATCACCCAAATGATCTCAGGGAAAACATCACAATAAAACAAAACACTACTTACAAACGATATTTATTAGATAAAGTTAAATATTTACAATTAAATATTTATAAAAAAATACTTAACGAAAATAGTATAGCGATGTTAGAAGTTATAATAGGTACCTACCATAATAATAGTAATCAATTAAAAACTATCACACAATCTTTGACGTTGTTAAGCATTGCAGACATTGACTTGGAAGAGAGTACAAATCATAATTTTCGACCTTCATTTGACATACATAAGAATACTGTTTCATTCCGAATAGTTCGGTTGGTCTCAAGCATAGGAAAGTGGCGATGAGGTGGTGAATTACATATGGCGAGTGTTGCCGAAGCCACCGTGCCCTGACTGTGAAGCTCCCTTGTTGAAACCCATCTGCAGGTTCAGCTCCGACTCGTGGGCACGGAGCTGCTCCTCAGTGAAGGTACGCTCGTTCTTCTCCGCCATCTTAGGCCCTAACTGAGGACCAGTCCATTCAGGGTGCTTCTGAGTCTAGGAAAGAAATAATAGAAAAGTTAGATTGATACCCCTTTAAGCTGCAAATTCTTATATAAGGTATGGAAGGTCTACTTACGATCCTGCCCAAAGCGTATAAGCAGAGTGTGACTTGAGGAATGTTACGCCTCTCGAACAGGTCAGCGGTTTGGAAAATTTCTTCTTCTGGCACTCCGTACTTCTTGATGGCGGCTTGGAACCTGTAATAATCGAAACAAAAATTAAAATTAGTCAATGCAAAACAATTCTCGAACGAGACGAGTGCTAAGAACGCGTTACTTTTAAAAAATTATTCCCAGTTTTTTGGCAGCTCTTCATTTGTTTTTTGTTTACAAATCTAGTTGAAGAGGAAATTGTTTTATGATGATTTACCTTTGGATGTTCTCCATAAGCTGGAAGTTGGTTCCCCTCTCTTGGATCTTCTTGACTGATCCTGGGGCCAGTTTGTTGATGAGCTTGCAGAGAACAACGCCATCCTTCAGGTAGTCTTCATAGGCGGCACTTGGGAGAGGTTCTCCAAGGACGGCGCTGATCCAGTTCAGCACCTCCTGTTCTTGTTCCTTGTTCCTAGGCTGGAAGATAGTAAGACTATTATTACTATTACATGCTATTAAATAACAGAGCTAGTAATATGCAACAAAATTGCTCTCTGATTACAACTGAAGCTCATAAATTGTGTAAAAAAATCGAAACTTGCAAGTTTCGAACGCTAGCCGTAAAACATTCGCTCCAGTGCCAAGTCGTTTGATGGCGAACGAGCGGATTCCAGCATCACCTCCGAAAATAGCATCGTTTACGAAACAGATCTCTGTTATCCCATACTAAAGGGACCGGGGTACATCTGGAAAGCTTTTAAGAGCAACCTAAAGGAGGTAACAGATGATAGGCGGGCCGCAGCTGCGCGTGCGTCCCTCATTAATCTAAAGTATTCCAACACTATTGACGTCATCAACGCACAGTAATATTATAGTACTTTTGTTAAAACAAACTTTTAGATGCTCACTTTGTTTTGTTATTGAGTCTATATTGTTTAGATTATGAAGTGTGCGAGTGTTAAAATGTAAAATAACTGAACTGACTGTTATGATTAGTTCTGAAGAATTGATAAACATTTTAAGATAGTGAATCTAAAAAGATTACTGATAGCACTGTTCAGGTAAACATAGTAGAAAATTGACATCGCGACACATAAAAAAACAGTAAAAAAGACAAATGTGAAACAGATAATTAGATGGCAATTAAGAAGGAATTTATTAGTGAGTGTAGTGTAGAGATAGTGTTGCCAAGTGATACGTACAGCCATGTTAATTTATGTCACAGAACTTTTTGATTGCACTTGAGTTTGTGAGCGAGCTTTCGGCTCGAACTCGGCTGGTTGACTGTTAGAGTTGCAGTCCGCCCGCCCAAGCCGGCACCGTCGCGGGGGCGGGCGGACCGTTCCCTAACTTCTCGACTACGTACATTACATACGTAAATATAAAATGGCGTCACTCTTATTTACATCATTTACTGAACAAACTGTAGATTACACGCTGACGATGGCTGCTGACCCTTTTCATTCATAGCCATCCCACGGGTTTTTACATAGTTACTCCTATAAATATATTTCCCTTTTTTGCGGTAGTCTATTGTTTCATTTTATTTTGTTTGTTTTTATTATATGATTTTCCTTGGTGATTCAGAGATTGTTGTTTTTAAAAGTGGCTTCGAAATACGTATCTAAACATTATAAATAATGTACCTAAGTCGTGTATTGAAGTTTATGCTATAAATAAATTGTTTTTGTGTTAAATAGGTAAACAGGTAGGTAAATTTCAGTTGAAATGTAGAAAAATATGTACTGTTATTAGATTTTTAATTTACGTTACCAAAATTGAACAGCAAATTTCTGTAAAGTCTGTTAAAAATAACATTAGAATTGAGTTATGCGATTCACCCCATTAATAAGAAATTTTAGGACAACCGGACACAGTTTAAACATGATATATTTCTTCTTAGCTAATAATATTATTAAGAAAATGTAAGAAGAAAATATACATCTAAACGTATGAAATAAATAATATTATGTGGAAAAATAAACAGCTGTTTCCCATTTGTTTGTTGCTAGCTGAAAGTGCGATTCAACTGATGTTTGCTTTGTCAAAATAGCTTTTATTGGTAGGAAATAAGAGTGTTTGTTGTAGCTAAAGTTTTACATATTATAAATGATTGATATAATGATTTGTAGTACCTAACATAAACATTATGTTCTTCGATCTAATATCTAGAGCGTCTAAATCTGTATTAGAATTGGCTTAATTCTGCTTACCCTTTTGAACAATAAAAGGCGTAATCTTATGATAATATTGTTCTAAATAGTCAGTTAGTACATTAATAAGAACTTACACAATTGAGTAGCAGACCAGTATACAAGATGGAGAGCCATTCTTCGGCACGAATGGGCCGGCTCGACCGCAGTGATACCACGGCCTTACAGAAAACCGACGTGAAAGAACTAGTGTTGTGTTTCGTCTTGTGAGTGAGGTAGCCGAAGCCTCCCAATCTCCCCAATCCCCGAATCCCGAAAAATCCTCTATTCCTAATCCCTAAAAGGCCAGTGACGCATTTGTAACATCTCTGATGTTCCGAGTGTCCATGGGCGGCGATTGCTTACCATCAGGTGATCCGTCTGCTAACCCATAAAAACCTCGATTACACAAGGAACGACAGTTTGTTCAATTCAACAATCAAATCCAACTTTAATATTATACTTATTCTATGTTACTGGTTGAGTTGAACTTGGTTAAGTTCAAGACATTCTGATTTATGTTCTTTATAAATAACTTGAATCTATTGCTAAGGAGGTACCACATTATGAAGTAACTATTATGTATTCAAGTATCGTATGTATCGACTACAAAGTCAACTGATTATACCAATTTATGGCTTTGGACTATCTATAGATGTCTACTTACACATGTAAAGCACGACTATTAGTTTGATATAGATCTTTTATCGTACAACTTAACAAATTGTAATTACTTTTATTTTACTTATTTATATTCAGCCTTGATCGTCCCACTGCAGGGCAAAGGCCTATACCCTGCTTCCACTCCTCTCTATGTAAAACTTTCTGCGACTTATCCTTGTCATACAAGCCCAGTTCGTCCCGCCATCTGCTTTTGGGCCTGAGTCCATTGACGTTGAGCGGGCTCCACTCAGTTCAATTGTAACTACTTAGACTACCTATTTTTGGTGTTAAGGAGGAAAATCATCGAATGACTTCTCCCGCCTGGGTGAGGCGGGAGAGAGTGTCAGATTCTTACTGACTAAAAACCACCCCGTTCCTAGTCCTGCACTTCGAGGCCCGGTAACGCGTTAGTCCTAATTTTGGTGTCTACCGTCAATATAAACAGTGCTTATTCAAATAGTAGACTACTCTTGTATGGATTCATAAGAAGAAACTTATAAGTTTTGATATGTAGGTATGTAATTAAAAGCAAAATATACTAATAAATTACTGAGAAAGTATTTTTTAAGACAATATCCTGTCTCAGGTTACCTTTTTAGGATAACATTAAAATGTAATCATCAAAGGTAGGTAGAAGTACCCAAGCATATAATTTTTTACCAATTCCTTTTAAACTAAAAACCTATTTCGAATCACAGCACCTACGAATTATAATAAACTAGCGACCCGCCCCGGCTTCGCACGGGTGCAATATGTATATACATACAAACCTTCCTTAAGAATCACTCTATCTATTAAAAAAAACCGCATCAAAATCCGTTGCGTAGTTTTAAAGATCTAAGCATACATACGGACATACAGCGAAAGCGACTTTGTTTTATACTATGTATTGATTAATAATAAATGCACAATTTATTTAAGGTACTTAATTGGATAAGGATTAATGCTGTATTGTTTAAAATCACTTCGTAAATAACCATTTTTTAGTAAAGAATAAAAATGGTTATGCTGGGTTATCCCTAAGAGATAGACATATACCATCGCGGACTTTTTTGTTGAACTTTTTAAGGTGAACAATACTGTAGTATATTATTTTGGTCTATCTCGTAGGGTTCAGCCAGCGTTTGCAATATAAGCGCAAAAAAACGTGCTTATTTACGACATCACATTAGAAACCTTTAAATTTATCAGTGTTTCTCTACTATATTATGCATTTATTATACATACAAACCTTCCTTAAGAATCACTCTATCTATTAAAAAAAACCGCATCAAAATCCGTTGCGTAGTTTTAAAGATCTAAGCATACATACGGACATACAGCGAAAGCCTTTGTTTTATACTATGTATGATAGAGTAGCTGACCCGGCGAACTTCGTACCGCCTAACAGTCAATTAATGTCGTGATACCTTTTAGCTGAACTAATTTAGGCTATGATACAATATATTTTCTATCTAAATCGATTAAGCCGTACTTGAGTTACAATTGTAACTTACACGACTTTCTTTTATATATATATAGGTAATGAATACGCATGAAAATTCTTAGTAAACCTCAATTTTCTACGTAAAAACCACACCACCCAACCACCCACGCCGCGAAACTTCAGATACATAATCCAGTTCTGAAGAAAATGGTAAAACATGAAAACAAAAATTAATTTCTAAAATGAATATTTGCGTAACCTATGAAGTGAGTTTTCAGTAAACAATTACATTAAATTCAATTTTGATTTAACTAAAAATCGCGGGTTACTCACGTGAATATACTGACAAATACAATACAGTAGACTGCGCGACATCGGTTCGAAACTAGTCGAGCTTTTCTCAGTATATTCAAGTGAGTAACCTGCGATTTTAGTTAATTTAGTATGTCTCACGGTAGTTAAAAACAATTTTAATTTATTTCAATTATTTGTTTGTTTGTATCACGAAAATTTTGTTCCATTTCCCTCTCTATTTTCGACGAAAAGTCTACCTAATTTGTAATTTTGTTTTGTATAACGGAGGAACTCATACTATAAGCAACAATGCCCGATGGTAACACCAGGAGTATGATGATGAGATGACATATGGATCTCTGCCCTCATCAACCTATTTTGTACGATGGTCAAAGTCAAAGTCAAAGTCAAAGCATTTATTTAAATTAAACCATAATTTGGTACTTTGAAACGTAAAAAAATACAAAATAAATAATAGTCTGTCAATCTGTCCATCAGTGAAGCTAGGTCATTCCAAAATGTAGATTTAAATGGTGAAGAACGAGCAAGAAACTCCATTCGTTACTCTTTTAAAAAAACGTGGAAAAAAGAAACTGATGTAAATAAATAATTAATTATTTAAATATCAAATACACGTGAACGTTGACGTCACATAATAAGTACGTTGTCGAACAAAAATGACGAAAAATAAAATAAAGTACCTACGAACATAATTTCGTTCCCGACATATAATTTTTCGCTACCTTACAAATACTCGGAGTTTATTAAAATCTCCCTCCGGAATCTGTATTAAGATTTTTCCCATTATTTACCCATTTTTCCCCGTTTTATATTTACTCGTAATATTTGTCTAATGTGATGGAATACCCTTATTTAATTAGGTTAAACAGACCGACATTTTTTTCTTCATTACGTGTACTTGTTTGTCTATTATCTTGATGCTACTTTTTCTTTTAGAGTACTGTTACTCATGCTAATTTTGAAGTATAAAAGCATGCTTGAATTGGGTACTTTCTTTAATCAAAATTAAATATAAAAAAATAATCACACTTTCATTCATTGATTTCATGACCAACTTAATTTTAACTCGTCGAGTACCGTCAATACAGACACAATTATAGAACAATAGGTTGCGGTCACCGGTGACCGCTTGGTGTTTGACAGTTTAATATTATTCCAGAATTTTTTTAAGAAAAAAGTATGCTATTTGATAGTAATTGACACAGTATTTAACAGTAAAAAAAACGTGACGTCACAATACACAATCTCGTTCAAAATCTATAGAAAACTGTCGTTTTTGACAGTTCGAAAAAAGTATTGAATTTGACTAGTTAGCAAGTACCCAATTGTGCGCTTGTCACTTAGTAGCATGTGTCGGAATGTTGCTCAAAATTAGCATGCTCATTTCGAATGCTTGAAAATCGACAGACGTTCGATTTTCAAAACGTTTTTGAACATGCTAAATTTTTTTTTATGGGGTAAGCCGCGTAACGAGCTAATGAACCACCTGATGGTAAATAATCAAGTCTAGTGCATTACCGGTCTTTTGGGAATTAGGAATTTGACAATTGTTAGAGATTTGGTAGGGGGGGGGGGATAGTTGGACCTTCTGTAACTTCACTCACACAAAGAAATACAACGCAAGCGTTGCTTCACGCCGGTTTTCAGTGAGGCCGCGGTATCACTCGATCAGACGGTGACGACTGCTTACCATCAGGTGATCCGTCTGCTCGTTT